GTTTTGGCTTCTGTACTGAGCTCTAGATTTGTGTTGGCACTAGCATAAAAAATTTTGAGAAATTAATCAGCCCTAACCTACACACAAGCATTTCGAGAGACAAGTCACAACTACTTATAGGGAACACTTTAAACCAGGTTTTGGTACTGCTGCACAAAGTCTGGATGTCAACCCAGAATATTTAGTTCCAAAATGTCTCCACAGAACCTAGTATTGAAAAGTGTTTGACAAATGTGTAATCCTATTTACACTGCCCCTGAAACAGGCTTCCAACCCAAACTCAGGACTTATATCAAAAGCAGTATTAAAAGATTCCTATATACACAGACATTTAGAGTAAAGAAGTAAGTCCTAAGCAGTCAAATGTGACATGTGGGGTTTCATCTGTCCTTGTGAAACTAAATGCTTACATACACAATCAAACACACACAGGCCAGATGGACAGAAGCCTTCCCTCCACACTCATACACAGACAGACCAGCAGCCTAGAGTGGGCCCAACACGGCCTGTCCCTGAGAACAAAAGAGCCCAGAACAAAGCTGGCAACAATATTCTGTCTTCCATATTTCCACCAGTTCAGTGAGGGTGAGCAGGAGCACACACATAATACCTGACTGGAGAGGGAAGATGACATCACTTCTATACAATGAAATGACTCATTGTTCCCCATTTAGCTGACAGCTTCAAACATACACAATCAAAACACAGAAGCCTTTGTCAGCAGAATGCTAAGGTAATTTTAACCTGAAATCAAACCAGAAGCCTTATCCTGCACAGTCAGATTCAGGGTTCTTATTATCAAAGGCCACATGCCGCTTATGCAACTGAATCTATTTCTATATTAGATAAATCAGATCAATTCAAAAGAGTGGCTTTTCACACCGTCAGTACAGTAGACCGGCCTGGGCTTTGTAGCATGACATCATCAGGATTCATTTTGATCCCGGCCACCGATACACTGAAGACGCAGGGTTCTTTGTCTGTGGAAAACAACATCACAGCTCCCAGTCACTGAAATGACTGGATGTGGAGCACCACCTGCTGGCTGAGCAGAGACACAGGTGCTGAAGGTTAGCACTGTACAGCCCTCAAGGTGCAGGGCTACAGTCTCTAGGAGTAAAGCCATGGGTTTTCTGGAAGCCAGAGTGCAGACAGATGACATACTGTACAACAACAACAACAACAGGGTGCATACGTTTTGTTTTTGTTTTAATGTAAATAGCAAAAGAACTCAAAAATAATCATTAAGGAGAATATGCTATAAGTCCAAATGTACTGTGCAAATTTTCTGCTTTAAAAAAATGCCTTTGACCATTTCTCAGAGCCCACAGTGACATCATCATATGTCTTGTGTTCAACACTCCAAACCTCACATATATAACATCTGTAAAGACATAAAACAGAAGCAGCAAATCCTCACTTTAAAGCTCAAACTTCTGAACACTAAATGCCTCAGTCATTTTGAAGGCCTAAGGCTTGTAGTAGTCTACACAGTGTGCTGAGTGACCATTTATGAATGAGTGGCCATTATTATGGATACCCTAGTGGTACATACAGTACACAATGGTTGGATGCTTGCATTTTTTATTGGCACTTATAATTTGATTTTTTGAAATTAACTGATCAGTTGTATTTACATTGTTTTTGTGATTTTTAGGACAACTTTCATTTTTTAAAATTTCATTTTTGTAACATAAGAACCATCCATCCATTTTCCTCCGCTTATCCGGAACCGGGTCGCGGGGGCAGCAGTCTAAGCAAAGATGCCCAGACCTCCCTCTCTCCAGACACTTTCTCCAGCTCCTCCGGGGGAATGCCAAGGCGTTCCCAGGCCAGCCAAGAGACATAGTCCCTCCAGCGTGTCCTGGGTCTTCCCCAGGGCCTCCTCCCGGTGGGACATGCCCGGAGTACCTCGCTAGGAAGGCGCCCGGGAAGCATCCTAATCAGATGCCCAAGCCACCTCAGCTGGCTCCTCACAAGCCATAAATCAGCTTATTTTCAAATACACAACTTGTCCACACAAACAAAAACAAGAGGGGTCAACCAAAATACAAAATAGTTTTTTTAATTAAAAAATAGGCATGGAAGAAGGACAAAATATGCAATTATGAAAGTAGAACATCATGTTCCCCTTATGGAAATCAGTGTGCTTCCATTTCATTCATTTCCTAAAGTGTTTATAAAAGGAATATATAAATTTCCCTCTTGTGATAATATTTTTCTGCCATATTACACATTGGCATGTCTTTATTTGTCACTGTGCATGTGGCCATCTCTCTAACTAACCAGTTATATAAATTGGAACAACCATTTCCTGATGGAGCTGTCGTTTTTGCATAGGTGCATTGTGCCACTGAAAGGGGAAAGGATTGTTAATAAACTATTGCTACAAACTTAGAAACACAATTTTATTTTAAAATATAATTGTATGCTGCAACAGTGAAATGGCTGCATTGCTGGAAGTGTGTGGACACCCAAGGAAACACAGAGCTGTCTGGAATAACTAAAACCATGTGACCACAGAACTGGTAGCTAAATATGTGAGATTTATGGGGGAGTATGGAATGTGTTTCCATGCTAAGGGGGCAAAACACATTCTACCACACAACTCACCTTACAGTCCAAGAAGATAGATTTTGTCATTGTCATGTTTCCACTCTGCATTAAGACAGATGAGGAAATAACAGTCCCATCTCTCTAGGGAACATAGAGAAGACAGTTTGGAAAATCCCCAAGTAAAAAATAAACCTTAATGTTCCACTTCTCTTCAGCTTGGACCCAGAACTGTATATGTGACTGCTGTTATAATTTGGGTCACTGGAACCCAGCATGAACATAAATTAGATTTGCAATATAGTGGTTAAAAAGAAACAAGTTACCAGTTAAAAAGTAACATGTAATAGAATATAGTGGGAGTGTGTAGATTACATATAGATATTATCTGCAGTAGGTAATAGCTGATAGTCATGTAAGGGTGAGCTAAGTGTCTGTATCATCTTGGAGAGATCTGTTTCTCTGCTCTGGAATGTTTGAGGCTGTTTATCCATGGAGACCATGGGAACTATGTACTGATAGTTTGCTAAAGCAAAAATATCCTGGCTCATGTTGTCTTTGTTTAGTTTATGGGTTCATATTGTGAATAAACATCTAAAGAGCAGCCACCCTTAAATGGGAAGCTTAAAGTTGGGCATAATTTCAGCCTTGTGTGAACTGTTTGTGTGCTCACTTTTAAGTTCATGTTTAGAAAAGGAAATGTGTGCTTGGTCAGTGCGACCTAGAAGTTCATGTACTGGACATCTCAGACAAGTCCTGGAAGATGGGGTGTAGAGTTGGCGTAAAACTGGGACTGACTTAAGCAATAGGAGGGGAGTGTACAGGATGTGTAACTGGGAGAAGATAAAAGTTAGAATAGCTGTGGGTTAGAGAGTATGATGGTGCTGCGGTAGTGAGTGTGTGCATTCGGGAAGGACAGACGAATAGCCAGAACCCGGCTGGGAGGGGACCGACCTGACTCTGGACTCTGACAGACTGTACTGTAGGGCCAACAATGACTGGCTGATTCTTTGACAATTCTCATATCTAATATTATTGTTTATTTTTATGCTGTTCTTCTGTTCCCCATCTTTCAGATTGCTGAACTATCTTTTAAATTATTGAACTGCTCAGATTTATTGTAATAATAAATAACTAATGGAATTGGGATGATTTACTTGAATTCATTTAGTTCACACCAGACCCTAACAACCACACCAACAAAAGCTGCAGATGTCTTTGTGAGACCACGTTGAACCGAGTCCCCCAGTGTAATAATACATTACGACATTCAGACACGCAATAACACCACGTCAGATTCATTCTTTGAAAACACAAAGCATTTTCACTTTCCTGAAAAAGTCTGCGTTCAGTAGTTTTTATCTAACCTTTACCAGGATAAGTCCCACTGAGGGTTACAACCAGTGGTGGACAGCAACAAATACATTTAGTCAAGTACGTACTTAAGGACAATTCTGAGCAATCTGTGGTTTACTTGACTATTCTCATTTTGTGTTACTTCATACTCTGACTTCACTACATTTTAGATGCAAATACTATACATTTTACTCCATTACATTTATTTTATAACTTTAGTTACTAGTTAATTTTCATAACCAGATTAATGCAAACATTGCAGTAAAATCATTAGACTTTATTGATCTCTGGTGGAACGTTCATAAGCTGCCCAGAAGTAATTCAGATTATAAGCATTTAAAGTAGTTAAAAACTAGCTCTCTCTTTACCAGCTGCAACATTAAATGTGATGAATACAATAATGCATCCACCTCTGGTGGAACAAGTAAAGGAGCCAGTATGTAAAGGTTATTGATATAATCCAGAAAAAAATGTCTTAATGTTTTATTATTTACATTCTTAGCCATGCTAGTAACAGACCTAGCATGGATGGTAAAGTTCAACTGTATTCATTTCAATGAACCCTTACCTTTTCATCCAGCGCCATCATCAGGTCAAAACTTTTATTTGTCCAGTACTTTGGTTTATGACCAACAAAACTAATGACATGAACAACCTCTGCTGTACTTTGTTTAGTACTAATTATCATCTAAGATGGTAAATACAGTAAACAGCCTCACAAAGCCATGACTGCAGTCTTGTTAAAGGTTAGTAAACAGCCTCACAAAGCCATGACTGTCTTGTTAAAGGCCCGTCCAGGCTGTTATTTAAAAGCAGTTTAGCCTCTAAATGCTGTGGTCTGCGACACTGGTATACAGTACTTGTCCTAAATGTTAAATGATTAATTTTGCTTCCATAGAAGATGACTGTCAGCATTTCATCCTGTGTAGAAAAACCAGCAGTTGAAACATTTGTCTGATCATCATCATCTTATACTTGGCACTTCAATAAATCACATGGCTACAACTGGTTTAGCTACATAAGCAGATATGAAATGATGCAACTATACTATACATGCATCCAACACAAACTGTCACGCATGAAAGCCTGCATCTTTTCACCATTCATTTATTTCATAATTCATTGCTCTCTGTCATATACTGTCCCCCATTTCCCAATAATTTAGAAAACACTGATGAGTGTGTGTGTTAAATGAATTCCTAGCAAACACAAAACACTGCAGAGTCCCTCCTGCACACTAACAGAGGGTAAGACTTGTGAAGTCTCACACTTTAAAAATACAATTGCCTAAATGAGAAATAAAATTTGTACATGACCCTGCAAAAGAAATGACTGTGCAAAATTACTTGAGGGACAAAAATATGTCACATTGAATCATTCTTTACATGTCATAATTCTTTATATAAAGCTGGTGGCTTACTGACATTCCTCTGTCTCACTCCCCTTCGGAAAGAATTTCATTCAGCGTTCATTACATTAAAAATCTTTTTTTCAGCTTGTATCCCCACTACATGTCACATAAAACAAGCACTTAAAATGCAGGCAACTTCTAAGGCAACATGTGAACTAAAACAAACTAGATACAGTATAGGGAGGTACAGGTGCCTCAGTTTTGTCCAAAAGGGCATTTCCAGACTACATAAAATATGTCCTAATGCAAAAATGACACAAGAGCTCTCATAAGAAGGTGAACTACTGAATAGAAAAGACAAAAACATCTACACACAAAAACCAATACTGAAGTCAAAATAAAATGGGAATCCACAGCTCCCTGGATTTGCTCTGGAAGCTAGTCGTGGTTTTTCAAAAGCACGAGGAGCAGAGAACTTAACTGTGACGTCTGCCATCCCTCTGTGAACTGAATTTATGACCTGTAGGAAGTAAACAGGTATTGTGGTTTTGGGAAGGATTCATGCTCCTTGTCAGTTAGGGGAGAGGTGGAACAGAAATAAGCTGATTTAAGGTGTGTAGTTGCAAGCCTATTTTTGTGAGGACCCGTTGAAGTTTTATACCAAAGCAGTGAGGCCATTTTGGCCCTTCAAAGGGCTGCTTGAGGGTTAAGACTTGGTTTTAGGGTTCAGGTTAGAATCAGGTTTAAGTTAGAGCTGGGGTAAAGGTTGGGATTAGGCATTTACTTATGATGGCTGAGGTTAAGTTAGAAGGCTAGGGAATGCATTACATCAATAAGAGTCCTCACAAAGACAGAAGTACAAACGTGTGTGTGTTTTTTTTTGCATAACAGGGATTTCACATGTGCGCTGTAGACCAGGTTCTCATTTCGGTCAAACTACATATGATTCACACTTCTTGCTAAAAAGCCTTTGTCCTGGTGTTCAACTTCCGGAGGCCACCGTGGCAGTCACCCATGGAAGAGTGGACACACACTGACCAGGCAGCCCAGTGGCACTGAGAGCGATTGCCTAGAAACATACAACCTGTACTCATCGGCCTGCCAGCAGACTCACACACTGTGTGAAGAAGAGGTCCATCCAGACGTACAACAGCAGGGCCTGGGCTGACTGAGATGGCCTGCAGTGACTTACTGCTCTGCGGTCACAAGATACATGATGTGCAACTGTATGTACAGAGGATGTCTTTCTGCTGGATGGAGGAAAGGGTCTGAATGCAACATGCAGGACACAGTAGAATGCAGGTCTCATTACACAGCTGGACAGTGTGTGTGTGTGTGTGTGTGTGTGTATGTATGTGCAGAGAATGAGAGTGGGTAGTGTTACAGTGGAGGGGGAGGAGGTGGATGGTAGCAGTTCATATGTCTGTGTCTCATCACGACGTGCCCTGTCTCTTCTGTTGCTGGACCCGAATCAGCTCCAGCTGTTTTTTGCACTGCTGGTAGTATGTGGACAGACTCTTGTTCTCCTCCAGCAGTTTTTTGTGCTCCTGCACCAGACGAGACGTGTTCTGCTGGTCCTTCTCATCTTGGTCCAGTTCAGCGATGAGCTCCTTCCTGAGGAGACAGGAAATGAAGCAATCTTAACTCCTGGAACATCACGTTTCAGTCATTTTATTTAAAGGCTTATGGTACTGTCACTAGGTTACTAGGCATATGAGGAGCTGTCTGTGGTGCTAAATAGAAAAAACTAACAAAAACAAAAAACTGTTTTATGCAATTTGAACTTGCTTTTATTTTCCAGGACTGGTTGTCAGCCCTCGTCAGCCATGACCATATTAAGAGACTATTAACATTGTCCACTGAGGTCTTGACAGTTTCTTGAGGGTTTTGAATTGTGATCATCCCTTTATTTCATTTTCTTTCTACCACTCTATGCTTTCACACAGTGCTTCAAAGTGTGTCATTTTGCATAACGGTGAACTGCTGTTTCACTGAATTGGCTCTGATCTGTGAACTAGACCTGGCCTGGGTGTGGATGGGGAAAGCACAGCGAAATCAACTTTTTTTTAAATAAATTGTCCCAAATTTGAAAGTGGGGTTTAAAAAGTGTTAACCCTTTAATGGCACTGCTGGTCTGTCCACCTATGATCCACAGCAAAATGTTTCAACAAATATCAGAAGGATTAATATGATTAACATGTCTCCTCAGGATGAATTGTAACTTGGAACTTCAGTGATCCTCCGATACTTCATCTTGCACCATCATTGCACTTTAGTCCAGCACAGCTGTTTCAGTGTTCTTCTCTTCTGAAGCCTAGGATGACTGCTGCCTTAGTCTACTAAATCTGATAATTGCCTTTGGATGGATTTTTGTAAACTCACAGCTCCGCATTAGATGCATGAGACGATGCCTCAGCATGATAGCATTAATTCTGCTGGCGTTGTGACAACACACGCACAGTGAGAAACATTCCCACTTAGTTGCAGTGCACTTAAGAAGTAAACTGAATCAACTCTACACAAACCAAAATCTTTCTAAGCACAAAATGACCTCAGCAAATGTAAACTGGCTGCACTCTGCAGTGAGACTTACTTTCTCTGGATCAGCAGGGCAATCTCTGTTTGCACTTTCAGGTATTCTTGGGCCATCTTGCAGTGCTGCTCAAACACAGCCATGGACTCTTTAGAGTTGGGACACGGAGCAAGAGGCTGCAAATAAATGCGCATGTTGCTGTTAATTGACTTAAAAATGGTCTGCTCATACATCGGTAACATTCCACTTACTAGACTGCACCCTGCTTTCAGGGCTAATATCCTGCTACTTCCTTTAAAAAGAGCTTGCCATAAAGTCAACTGTGTAGACTTAAGACAATGTGTAGCAATGAAAATTATTCATAAAAAGCTAATGTGCTAGACAGATTTAGCGAACGTTAATATCCTGAGCACTGCTATACAAAAAAGTTCTGGATGTACTGAGAGAGACTCCTTCAAAGACCAGTGAGACAGAATGACTCTCAGGTTGTCAGTTGCCTTATTATGTATAATCCTTTGACATCTGTCTTTAAGTCCACCCTATCGGTATACACTTCAGTCTAGCAGATCTTTGAACAATGTATTTGCCTATCCCCTAATATTTGTATATAGGGACAGGCAGACCTCTCAGAACAGTGTACTCTTGTGTACAATTGTGTGTCTGCCATCACAGAGGAATGATGTACTGAGTATCACAAGATTGTCAGACAGCGCGGGGGTATTAAACATGGCGACGCACAGTCACTGAGAGTAAACAACACTTTGACTTTATAACCCACTACTGGAATTACATGAGCAGTCCATTGGAATCACAAGCTGTTGCCAATAACCAGAACTGACCTTTCACATTCTGGAGGATTTATCGTATCTAGAATCTTTCATCGACCAATACTACATTCACTGCAGTATGGATACCACCAATACAACCCAGCACGACACCTCAAAGCCAAACAAACGGAAAAAAAAAACTCTTCTACACATACAAGCGATCTACAGATGACAGAGATTGAGGTCAGTGTTCTTGCATCCATCAATAAAAAACTCAATTTCCTGGTCACACTTCATGATGAAATAAAAGAACTCCGGTCAAGCCTTGAATTCACCCACAACTACAATGAAAAATTAGAGTAGTCAAACAACTCTCTCCAAGCATCCGTCAAAACCCTCAGTGAAAAAATGGACTTCGTCATGAAGAAAAAAAAAAAAACAATGAAAGAAACAATACTGGACATTCAAACTAGAAACATGCATGACAACCTGATCTTTTCCAGCATTCCAGAACAATCACCTGACAATCCCGAAGCACTGATTAAAGACTTCATGAAAAACCAACTCAAAATTCCACCGGATACTGTTAATAAGATCCATGTTCCAACAAAACACCCCGACCAATAATAGCGAAACTGGAACACTACAAACACAAAGAACTAATTAAAAGTAAAGGCAAGGAACTGAAAGGCACAAGCTTTGGACTCAACGATCAATTCCCAGGTGAAATAAATGAACGACGGAAAATTCTCTACCCCATCATGAAACAACACAGGCGGAACAATAAACGTGCAAATATCATTGTGGACAAATTATACAATGAAGGACAGCTCTACCGTGACTCGAACATTACCCCGTGGCTCTTCTGATTTTCTACAGACTACCTACCAACCAGTGACTGCTACATTATATGTTAAATAATTCAAGCCCCTTTCATCACCCTGGTCCCTTACATCCACACACAGAGCAACCCCTATCCCACACGGACTTCTACAACCATCCCTTGCATTGGCGCCCCTATTTTTACTCTGTTATTCTGTTTGTGTTTTTGTTTGTTAATTACACCATGCGGAAATGTATACTTGTCTATGTTCTTTTGTACTGTTATGCCCACATCCACACTCTAACACACATACATATACAGTCATGGAAAAAATTATTTGAACCCCAGCTAATTTTGTAAGTTTGCCCATTAACAAAGAAATGATCAGTCTACAATTTCAATGGTAGGTTGATTTGAACAGTGAGACACACAACAATAACAAAAAAATCCAGAAAAATGCATTACAAAAAAAGTTGTACATTAATTTGCATTTTCATGAATGAAATAAGTATTTGATCCCCTATCAGTCAGCAAGATCTCTGGCTCCCAGGTGTGTTTTATACAGGTAACGAGCTGACATTGGGAGCCCTCTCAGCTTGTTACCTGTATAAAAGAGACCTGTCCACAGAAGCAATCAATCAATCCAGATTCCAACCTCTTCACCAAATTGACAGATAAGTTTGAGCCCTGAATGGGGGGAATGGGGGGCAATCCCGGCCGGCAATCAGGCAAAGGTGGGGTACACCCTGGACAGGTCGCCAATCCATCGCAGGGCTAACACATAGATGAACAACCACACACACGCACATGCACTCCTATGGGCAATTTAGAGACACCAATCAACCTGCATGTCTTTGGACTGTGGGAGGAAGCCGGAGTACCCGGAGAGAACCCACGCAAGCATGGGGAGAACATGCAAACACCACACAGAAAGGTCCCAGGAACCTCTCGCTGTGAGGCAACAGCGCTAACCACTGCGCCACTGTGCTGCCCATGATGAAAATAATAATCATAATGAATGTTCTTCTAAATATATATTCAGAATACAAGTATTTTTTTAGATTAAATTTATGTCCTTTAGTGCTGCTTGTGTGGAGTAAGGGTAGGCATAATAAGCTTTAGCTTCAGCCTACACCTTTGGTCAATAAACATTGTTTTTTTGTTTATTTCATTTTATTTTGTATAATTATGTATGTGTGCATACATGCTTTTATTCAAATGGATGTATGCACCCTTATGTTTCATGCTTTTTTGTGTAAAATAATTGCAATTCTAATTTTGCTTGTTGACCAAAAACCTAATAAATAAATAAATCCATTGGATAAAAATACTGTACACATCACCTGGGGCAACAATAAGTACAAATGGAATCAGGTCACAAAGTTTCACTTTACAGCAGGGTACCAGACAAGGATGCCCACCCTGGTAACCAATAACCCACTACAACCCTCCAAATTAACTGAAGAAATTATGAAAATTCATAGAAAATAATATCCAAGCTATATAAACTCATATCAAATATAGATTCAACAATAACAATACCAAAACTCAAATGGGAAAACGATTTAACTCTCTCCATCAGCTCCAACTTCTGGACAGAAACTTGTAATAACATATTTTCTATTAACAGCAAGGTAAACTTACAACTTATATAATACAAGACCATCTATAGGACCCATATTACACAAAGTAAAATGTTCAAAATGGGTTTCACTGACACAGACATCTGTTCATAATGCGCTCTAGGTTGCACCAACAATTATTTTCATGCTACTTGGACCTGCCAACCACTTCATTCTCTCTGGATAGCAGTGACAGAGAAACTCTCCACCATCTTGGGTTGTAGAATCAAAACTGGTAATCACAAAAATCTCTACACATAAACCACTGGACCAACCTTCTGACAGAATACATCACATTAGAGAAAATAGCATCCACCCACAAGAATAGTTTATGAGCTTTTTATGACATATGGAACCCATTTCTAACACTTTTCAACTTGAACCAAACACCTAGGGCTGACGCACATTCCCACCAACCTCTAAAAATGTAACAAGCTGTTTTTGTTGGTATCTTATCACTGATGTGATTTTTAAAAATCTCCTTCTCCCTTTCTTGCCCTTCATAGACTGCATAAGTTGGAAATACACAAACTTCACAGCCTCACACACCACGATCTTGTAAAACACTCTACATCTTTTTGTAATGTCATGTATCCGTTGTCTTGTCTCCCATGTCCAGACTTGTTTTGGACATGGGAGACTTGTTTTGGACATATATAAAAAAATATTTGTATATAGGAGGGCTCAAAATCTGAAGGACAGATTTATGAAGGCAGATGTTCGAACAAACAAAGGACATGCTTTATTCCAGGGTATTATCCCTATAGAAATTGCGTAGCTTGTAGTTACATAGTCTGTACTACAAAATTTACGTTTCACTAATAAGATATACAATATAAGATCATGTATAACCTATAATTCCTGCAATATTATTTACACTCTGTCCGGTCTTTGTAAAATGATTTATGTTGCAAACGCAACAAGAATGAGAATTCAACTAAATGATCACATTAGTTCTATTAGTTCTAATGCTATTTTTGAAGAAATTGTGGTGGGAATGCTGCCTGCTAAGATAGCATGAGCCAAACTCCATTGCTGCCTGCTGGAAAAGCTTTAGCCTAACCAAACTACTGCTAAACACATTCAGGGCTCAAACCTATCTGTCAATTTGACTGTTGAAGGTCACTGGCCTATGACAACATGGCCATGTACCTAACCCACTTATGTGCATGTATTTTAGTGGCCAACATGTATGAACTTATATTTGACCGGTTGTTTTTAAAGTTTTTTTGTTTTTTTACATTTGTTGCATGCTTTTAAGAGACCGTGACGAAGGCTTCACGCTGAAACACATTGGTCTTTTTATTAAAGTTGCTAAAAACACTGCAAGTATTGCTGGACTTTTTCTTTCCAGTTATTTTTTTTTCTTGTCTGTGCACCTTGACAGTGGGTGACGTTGTGCCAGAACCTTCTGCTGTACTATAGTAACTGCTTAACAGAGCTAAAACATTGCTCAAATCTCACAAAATAGTCAATTAAAGGACAACTTGAAGTCCTATCAAAAACCTGCCCTCACTATCGTTGGCAGGACACTCTAGAAAAGAGGCTGGTACATTTTTTGTGAAGCTATTCAATAAAATAAAGGCTTTACCATGAGTTACAATAACCCCCATTTCAATATCCTCCTAAATAAATCTGCCTTCATTTAACATTAGAGTTAATTGAGCACTCCTGTCACTCCAAGGTTCACCTAGAATCTTCTATGAGTCTGACTGCTTAGGTAACTGCACTGTCTGACTGATGACAAGTCTGTCTACAACCAAGGACAAAATGATGGCTATAGAGTGAAAACTGTGATCATACAGGCAAATTAGAGATTATTTTAGACAGGTTTTTTCAGCCTCTCCCTAACTGATGATGTCACCACTCTAGCCTCTCATGATTTGATTCTATAAAGACAAATGTACAGTCATAAAAATAATCGCACTGTTTGCAATTTCCTGGTTTTCTGCATAAATTGGTCATGAAATGTGATCTGATTTTCACCAAAGTCACAAATATAAACACAATATTTCTAAGCTGATAAAACACAAACAGTCCTGATCTTTCGTGTCTTTATTGAACACACCGATAGGTTATATGTACTGTTTTGTTTTCTGGAGGCTGATCAGATATTGTTACCTGCAGCTGGTGATCCAGGGTCAGATAAGCCATGGGAATGGAGTTGTCTGAGCCGTTGGTGTCTGAGAAAAGAGGATAGAGAGCAAAGGCTATTTTCCAATACCTGCACAGGAACAGTATTAGCTGTATACCACAGGTCTTTCTTCAGGAAGGATCTATGGCCCTCTCCAAAGCACATTCAATCACTGATCAACACTACTGTACACATGACAATTGCAGACATCTAGAATGCAGCTCGACAGATTTACATTAGCAACTCTTCTGTTAGAACCAACGGGATTACAGGCTGGCTAACCGGAGTGACCCATTTCAATCACATCAGTTGTAAAATTAAATCTTCACTTCTCTTTACAATGACATCTAATATATTGATCTTAGTGGTTAACTAGGTTAACTGTGGTGTGGAGTAAATAATTGGACAAAGAACAGCTAAGAAGGTGGGCCAGAGTCAGGAACTCTTGTGGGGGGTGAGGGGCTCAGGTATGGTTGAGTTTGTACCCTGCTATACAGTATGTGCAGTGGTTGAGCTCCTCCTTATTAGAAAGTGAGTGAAATATCATTATTCATGACATATGAGGTCCAGCTGCACCACTGACCATCAACGGTGCTGTAGTGGAGAGAGTGAGCAGTATCAAGTTCCTGGGGGTGCACATCTCTGAGGACCTCTCCTGGACCAACACCACAACACTGGCCAAGAAAGCTCAAACATGCCTCTACTTCCTCTGCAAACTGAGGAGAGCCAGTGCCCTACCCCCCATCATGTGCTCCTTCTACTGGGGCATCACTGAGAGCGTCATCACTGGCTGCATCACTGTGTGGTACGGAGCCTGTACTGCCTCCTGCAATGCATAGTGAAAACAGCCAGCAAGATCATCAGCGCCCCTCTGCCTTCAACACCTGCCTCACCCGCAGAGCCATCAGCATTGCTGATGACACCTCCCACCCCGCACACTCCCACTTCACACTCTTGCCTTCAGGGAGAAGGTATTGGAGTCTTCAGGCCCACTCCATCAGACTTACAGCTTCATTCACCAGGCTGTGAGGATGCTGAACCCTGTTCACTACCTCCCCCCCTCTGCCCCTGGACTGTAACCCACCACAGAACAAACTCAATACATTCCCCCTTTTTGTTATATTACATGTAAATCTGCTGCGGACTGTTCTTTTTACCGTCATATCTGCTGCTGTTGGTCATTTGCACTGCTGTCCATGTACATTTCATAAAATATTATGCATCCCATCACCAACGGCCCTGGTGATGCTGACCACCTGACAATCTTCTTCTTATTATTTGTACTACTGTCACTGTTTGCACATGGCTTTGAGTTTCATCATACCCTATTAGGTTGAACCATCTAGTTTATCCTTATTACTTGAATTCAGTTTTCATATTCTGTTTATTCTGTGTTTATTCTACTTTTATTCTATTTTAATTTCTTAAATGATATGGCATTCAACATTAGGTGAGAGAGAAACAGTATTTCGATGTTTCTGTATGTCCAGCACATATAGTGAATTGACAATAAAAATCTCTGATCTTGATCTAATAATGCTCAAATATGCTCTCTGTGAGCAAAGTGCTGTGCTCTGTTTTCCTCCAACTACAACCAAACCTGTCAGTCCATATAACTTTATGGTATCTCTTCTTGGGTTGTATAAACTGTGTGTGAACACAAAAAGGACATTAAGTAAAAGGCAACAATCCACGGAACTTGAAAACAGGCATGAAACCTAAATAAAACTGAAACAAAATTAAATGATCTGTTTTTTAGGTGTACACATAATCACATAAAATTTTGCTGACGTGTTGTACATACAGGTGATTTTTCCATCAAAATTCATATTGTGAGTAAAAAGGACATTTGCTGGTCAAATTCAGCTAGCTTCTGACAGTTTGGATTTGAAAGTTCAGTTCTGCCAAATACACTGGACCCTTCCCAACCGCTACAACATGGCAAAGGTTTGAGGTCTGTTTCATTAGTAGAACAGTATTGCACTCAGTACCTGTGGGGTCATCAGGGGAGAAGTAACCTCTGTTGCTTGTCTTATCAGGTGGCATCATCCTCACACTAGGACTGGAGGACCGGCTGCTGTTCTTACTCCCCTGCAAAAGGATACAAACACCGTCAGTCACCTGGGAAGCTAATCACAGTTTCTGAATGTTGGAGCAGAAAAATATGATGTAGACCATAACAAAATTATGACTGGGACCATATATTCATCTATTTGGGTATTTCTTCTTTGGGTAGGTAACTGGTTTTCATTTTGGTATTCAAAACAGCAGGACATTTCATTGCTGATGCAGTCTGAGTCTGAAGATGAAGAGGAAAGAGAACACGATGGAGAATGCTTGGTCCGCTAGCTAGTACTCACATGTCTGAAAATGTTGTTACAAATACACATTATTAGAAGAGACAGACCAGATATTCTAAATCTAAATGGTTACTTTTTTGCCTGAAAAAATATCAGAACTTATTAAAGGTAGTATAATACCAATGCCATGATAAGACAAATGCAGATCTACCTTTGCTTCTGTAACATTTAGTTCTTGAGTTACTGTCTTCCAGATGCTGTTAATAGGATAACTTATGCCATGGCCATTCTAGTAACGCTAACTGTATATGTGTGCTTCACAATACAAGCAGTAACACGGTGCACACATAAGAACATAATGCAAACAAGAAAAACAGGGCCCTATTTCTTGAATGTCGCTTAAATAATTCAGGCTAACACCTGATAACTGGGTAAAATACTCCTGTTATTTCTGATCCAGCAGTTTGACTCATTTGAACACTGATCTGTTAATCCAGGATGCAGTTATCTTGTGTTTATGACTTAAATAGGGAGAAACCATGAACAATATTTATTTGATTGGGTGAGTGTTGATCGTGGGATTGTAGGTATAGGAGTCAGGTGTGTTAGGAACCCTCCCAACATGCACTGGGGTTAAACGCTTCAAATTATTTCATGGTTTAGGACCTTTGTATCCAAGTCTGAACGCTGGAACAACATGAAAATTAAAGGCCTGACAAAATCTTCAGTAATAGTATTTTTGTACAAAGTCTTTATGGTGAACTCTAAATGAACTTCAGACTGCACGGGGCTACTGGTTTTCTACCAAACAGGCAAATGTTTAATATAGTAGGTATAATGTAGACAGTGCGTGTGTATGAAGTGGGAGCACCAGACTGTTCCTAGACTTATGTCTTCATCTCCTGCCAGCTGACATATCAAACACATCACATTTGACAACACTGTAAGGATTTCTCTCTTTTTAAAAAGAATGTGTCAAATGCTTTGGAAAGACAACATAAGTCAAATATCCACAAGGCTTTACAGGAGTAAAGGAATGATGAGAGTGGCAAACGGAAACGTATATCTGTCTGGTAGGTTCTGTTGGAGTTAAATTTTTCATTTGGGAAGATAAAGTGTTGTTTCATCATCTGTGCATCATATACAGAATTCATTTTGGTGTGTGAATTTGACTTAGTTTTGGTCTGTTGATGAAAAGGTATATTATTTTTAGTCAAATTTAGACAATGAAAATTAAATACATTTTAGTCTGATTTGTCATTTTTATCCTATATTTTTAATGTTGTTCTAAACATTTTGAGGGTACCACTGTTGCCATCTTTGCTGTATAGTTACCATTGTTACAGGTGTTGTTCCCATCTATCGCGAGATTAGAGGAAAAGCCTTTTTATTAGTTCACTCACAGTGTCTATGTCCTGCTTCACTCTGTCACTTGTCCTTTGAAAACTAGGTCTGTATTTATCACTAAATTGTGTCACTGTGAACTGACCAGGGCTGTCAACCTCTGATAGCCTCTACAAAGTACTAAATTAAGGAGAAATTTCAGTTTTTGATTTTAATAAATTTGCTAAACATTCTCTGAATATGTTTTCACTTAGTCATTGTGGGTTACAGAGTGTAGACTGGTGGGCAAAAATGGCCCTTATATACTGTACATTTATAATTACATCTACAATACAATAAAGTGTACAGTAAGTTAATTTCTGAAGCTACTGCACACGTGTTGCTATGGCAGTCCAAAGACATACAGTAGATCTTGATTACAGTTCAGTAATAAATTTAACAAATGTATAGAACTGGACAGCTGCATCATAAGTCATCAGGTCATAGTGTGCTTTACAGTAACTATATACATTTCACTAAAGGTTTACATTCTTTCATTCATTCATTTTGTGATATGAGCCACATACTTGGTGAGCCTGAGTTATATCCAGGTAACTTCTGAGAGACTACAGCACTATAATCACTATGGTTATGTAGGTTCATTCATGTCAAAAAGAATGAGAGTATAGTCAGTAGCAAGTTTACAGTAGAAATGTTTTTTAGATGAACCTTCCTTCAACCTGTTTAATGTGGTTTTTGCCATCAGTGATCTCCATCAGCTATGGAAACAGGTTTTTGAGGAGGTGCATGTCAGCTATGTTGTAGCTATGGCAGCTACCTACAACCCCTTACTGCACAAGTACAAATCCCCGTTTAGTCGGTGTCACTGTCAGTCAGACCTTTATGCACAAACAATTAAAAGGGAATTATCAGATTTTTCTCTACCTGGGCAGACAGAAAAACAGCTGTATTCACAGCAGTATATTGTTCCTAATTTATAAAGCATGTCTGTATGCTGTATCTGGGGGGAAAAAAGAAACATAATTTAAGTTCCCTGTCCCAGTCGTCACTTACATGTTAATCATCAAAACTATTGTGCTGCACAGATCCTCTGCTATTCATTTTTAGTATCGGACAGTTTCTTACCTGGTTGGACTCTGTGCTGATACCTGGCAGATCCTGCACAGAGCGACGTCTCTGTGGCTCACATGTGGCTGTGGACAGGATGGACATACAGGAGAGAGAGTGAGAACCAGGACAGTTTGTGGGTAGTGATGGTGGGGAACTGATTCTGGTGTTTGCTTGTGGCTAGATGGAGATTCAGAGCCACAAAGCCACACAGGGCACAGCGGCCCTGATTTAACCCTTTACGTCCTGGCCTATCAACACATGCTACGGTATGGCTGGAACATGACCACGGCACTCGAGGCGCCCAGCCTCAGTGACAGTGTACAACAAACACACACGCACATCACTGCACACCAGATCTATCCTCAAGAACAGCTGAGCCTGCTTATGTGGCGACATTGCACTGACTGGCTGGTTTGGGTTAGGGGCAGGTAGTGAGGTCTCAGACAATGTCCATGGGACCTGGCAGGTGCTGCACTCCCTAGTCATCACTCATTAGTTTACTGATCAGGTAAACACCAGGTTCTATAAGTCAAAAGATATTACCCGCTCTATCTATACACTGGAAAAGAACTTGATTTTGAATCATAAGGTTTTGACCGCCCTATACTCATTGCTGTTTGTCCTCCACAGTTTTTACTTTCTATATCACACATCAACACCAAAACCTATGAGAGAATTTAACTTAAGGGATTAATGCCAACTATTTAGATGTGGTAAACTGTCATTTTTAAAAATCTTTTTTTCCAAACAGGTTCAAAGTAAATGAATTTTGCTCAATAAATTGTATATTTCCAAATTCTGTTTATTTTCTAGAATGTCATCACAAGATCTGAAGATTTTGATTTATCAACAAATGATGAAAAAAATGAATGTGACTAATTAGTAGAATTTGACACGTGACTCTCAGTTAAACTAAAACATAAAGCATATTGTTACTGCTGACTAAATATGGAATGTCCAAAATGTCAGCTTTTAAAGAGCTAATGAGGCCTTTTTCAGGATAACAACCATGCATTTTTGAACCTGATAGTGCATTTTTTTTCAGTGAACAGTATTTTCCCATTCAAATAAAACCCAAACCAAAATTAAAAATAGTTCCCTAAATTTAGCATTGCCAGTTTTTACAGTGCAGTAATATACAATATATATACCATATCTACTGGGACAACACAAGGTTTTTCCATAACTCCACACTTCAAAACTGTCACAGCAGCCTGGGCTTCTCTGGGCTGCACCAGCTGTAAACTCTGTCTATGCCACAGTAAAGACACAGCACACAGAGAGACATACAGTACAAATGAACAAACAGAAGGGAACAAAACACTTGTTGGTTCTTGACTGTCTGTATCTGCAGTTGTTGCAAGACACGGACTGAACTGCGACCATCATTTGTCATAAAAATTAACTAAACGTTTTCTGAATTTATATATTTACAATTGGATGCATGCAGTTTTAAAAGAGTTAATTTGCTGTACAAATTATTAATAAATTTGGTTGCCAGTTATGGACTTGCAGCCATTACTTATCATTTGTTACTGGGCAGGGGTGTAATGATACAGTTTGGTCAATAAC